AAGGCATATAAAATAATATAGAGCAATATCTATACATATAATAAAATTGTAACTAAGCCGAATCTGTACTTTAAATATTTTTTTGGAAAATCTTATTAAAACAGACATTATTATCGATACAGAGGCCGAATCTATAGTTTTTCGAATGTTTGTCCGTCTGTCTGTTACCGCATCACAGAAAAACCACTGGAGGGATTTTGATGAAATTTTGTATGATGATAGTTGGTATCCGGGTCAACATACAGAATACTTTTTACCGCGGGAAAATGTCTCATTTCTGAGAAAAAATACAAAAACTGCAATGTAAGAGTATACTGATATGTAAAACCTAAGAATTTGATTTTTGGTCATCTGAACGCGGGCGGAGCCGCAGGCAATGCTAGTCATAAAATAAAATATAAGAAACTATGTAGAGACTTACCCTCTCTTCGCTCGGGCGCGTCCGGTACCAGCACATAGCGTTGCTACAGTTTAATAGGAAGATCTTTTAAAGAGGAATAATTCTGTAATACACTGTTTTCATATAACTTTATTAGTTTAATTTAATAAGCTCCCAGTCGGCATGATTTTTTCCGACATCTTCAACAATCATCGTCATATTTCAGACAGAGTTATACAACTAAACCTTTCTTACGAATCTCTCCATCTATTGGTGAAAACCGTATAAAAATCCGTTCGACAGTTTTTTAGCTTATCGCGTTCAGACAGATAGACAGACACAGACGCGGGGGACTTTGTTTTATAATATTTTGTATTCATTTCCTTTTATAAGAATAATATGCATTGTCCTAAACTCTCCTCATTTTTGCTTGTTTCATGAAGAATGTCACACGTAACGTCCAATATACTTTAAATGTCTGGTTAATCTTATCTATACATATAATAAAATTCTTAGTCGAACCTGTACATTAAAATGTATTTTTTGGAAAACCTTATTGAAATAGACATTATTATCGATACAGAGGCAGAATCTATAGTTTTTAGAATTTTTGTCTGTCTGTCTGTTACTGCATCACAGAAAAACTAATGGAGGGATTTTGATGAAATTTGGTGTGATCATAGCTGGTTATTCGGGTCAACATATAAGATACTTTTTACCGCACGAAAATATCTCATTTCTGTGAAAAAAAAAACAAAAACTGGTTAGAATGAAACCACTACGATACTAAATATATTTTAGCATGGTAACTTACTAAATAAGAAAAAACTATTAAAAATGGCTTATCTCGAGAAAAAAAATAACAATAGCGCTATTTTATTTGGTTTTTGATCATCTGAACGCGTGTGGAGCCGCGGGCAATGCTAGTACAACTAGACTACAGAAAAATTGACAATGCAGCTTTCTGAGCCAGTCAAATACACTATACTGTGCTACAGTAACCAAAATATAATTAAAATTTAAAACTCAATCCATTACGTTATGAAAAATACTAGCAACAATAAAATAAAACTCTATAATATAAAAAGACAGATGTCCCAACTTTTACAGCCAAATGATACTCCAATCCTTTTACTATCCTTCTTTCATACTTTGCACTTTGAAGATTAGTTTTTGAGTTGCCAGTGATAGCTGACTTTGCATCTCCGTCTGGGATGCAAATGACCAGTGAATCAATGGAGGGCTCTTGTCACTCGACTGACCCCGGAAGGACCGAGCCTTGCCTCGTAATGAAGTTATAATTTCAATAACTAGTAGGCCTTTGCTTATTAATTACGTATATCTAGCCATCGTGGATTTCCTTCGGTATATCTAGATGCACGCATGTCGCTGATTGTTTTCATTTATCATTATCTTCCTAAACTATTATAATATAACCAATTCTATACTTTTTACTTTTGTATAATATTATGAAGAGGAAAGATTTGTTTGTTTGTATCGAATAAGCTCCGAAACTACTGAACCGATTCAGATGAAATTTGGTAAGACGATAGTTTGAGAGCCTGCGAAAGACATAGCATAGTTTTTATCCTAGAAATCATGCCTCAAGGGGTTAAAAATGGGGATGAACGTTTGTATGGGGAAACAACCTAGTCTACTAGTTGTAGTAGCTAGTATTATATAAAACAACTTGTGTTGTTTTATATAAAGATACTAATATAGTATTATATTATATGATCTGTGATAAATGTAAGGATTTGTTTTTCAAATATTATTACGATGAGTAAATTATATCTGTAAAACTATGTAAGTTAGACATACATACATAGATATGTACATAATATCCTGTTGTGAACTTAACTTTTTGGTAAAGGTTATATATTTTATATATATTATTTTTACCAAGCCACGCCGTATACCAAATTATTATTTATTTAGCAAAAAATGCATCCAAATTTTTTATATAGTTTTCGAGATTAGTACGCACATGCGTACAGACTACTCTTGACTTCGACTTTCTTTTGTATGTGTAAGGATTTAAGAATTTATTAATTTATAACTTAAGCAATTTCTTCTATTACTTACAATAATTTACTTGAATCCGTACTATTAAAGTAGATGCCAGTGCGTTAGTTGGTTAAGTTTCAAGCACCAATAAAGTAACAAATTACGATTTTTTCACTATTTAAGGTACTTTTCCTCCATTTCCTCTGCAAATCTTAATATATATAATTCTTCTGTGTGCTTGTTAACCTACCTACTCCTCCTAAGGAACTGGACCGATTTAGATGAAATTTTGTGTGTATGTTTCAATGGGTTCCTGGATGGTATAAAATACAAATGGACTCAGTAGGTGGCGCTGCAGTCAGTGTGCCACTGATCATCTCCTAGTCGGCAGGGACGTTTTTAATTATATTTTTTGTGTATGTTTGAGTGGGTCCATGCAAAGTTCGAAAACACAAATGAACCCAGTAGGTGGCGCTGCAGTCAGTGTGCCACTATCATCTCCTAAACGGCAGGGACAATTTTAATGACAATTTTTGTGTACCTTAGATAGAGATATGAGATGGATATCAATTAAGCAGTAAGAAAATCATATATTTTATGTTTTCGCACATCAAAAAAGGGGATAGTAAAAAACTTTCATGGAATTATCATAACATCTTTTTTTTTCTATAATCAAATTTTCATCTATAAATAAAAGACTTAACAAAATAAAAAAAAACTGAGCAACATATTGGCATGTTTTTTTTGTTGTAGAGAATCACGTTATAAAACGGAGAGTGATCTTTTTATACCGAATTTATTTTTTATCCCAAATCATCAAATATGCACTAGCGACTCACCCTGGTTTGACTGTGTTCCTCCTTAAGTGATTCTTTACATTAACATAACTTTTTTATATGAACTGATGGAAATAAAACATATACTAAATGTTAATAACGAAGCTTACCATAATACATATATTAGTCAAAGCTGCACCCAAATTGGTTAAGCTGTTTATGAGATTAGCGCGCACAAACGCACAGACAAATAGATAAAAAATATTATTAAGTTACAATTTTATTATATTATTATATGTATAGATATGGCCAAAAAATAGTCCTTCTAGTTTAGTATGATAAATAAATTACTTATAAAAGTCCCAGTAATTAGTGTGCACTTAATTTTGCAATTTAAAAGAGATTTCAAGAGGTAATTGTGAATTTACATTAGCCTGTTATAAAATGCTACCCTCGGCTCGCCGGGGAACTAAACAAGGCATTTTATCATCGCGTCGCATGTCCGAAATTTACTTGAATAAATTACACCAAAGGCGAAAACTGTTGAATTTTAACCCGATGCCGCGCGTGACCGCCCGAAATACGACCTACGTAGAATTTTAAATATTTTATTCATTTTACATACATTTGTGAAACTCACAATCGCCTTTCCGAGAAATTACAAGAAAGATCTCTCGCTTTGTTAATAAAAGATGACTTTTTATGCCATATCCGAAAAGTTAACTTAACAACTTCTTTACTTAATTCATTGTAATAAATTGTTTTAGATAAATTTTGTATTTTACCATATTTTTATTATTTTATAATTTTTTTTTGTATTTTACCATGTTTTTAATTAACTATTTAGTTTCTAATAAGCTTGTAATTTGTCTATAACTACAACATGATAGATGATCTCAAAATGACGTTATCACTTATCACTTGTAATATAAAGTTGCATAAAATTAGACTAATGCTTTTTTTCTGATAGTCTTCTTAAATGAAATGTATGGCATATAATAAAAATCTTAAAAAATTAATCACAGTTTATTCTTCCTGACCGAATTTGATCACATTGTTCAATACCAAATAGTCTGGTTATGTGCGCCGGAGCAAATATAATAGAAACAATTGTATGAACAAAAACAAATACACTCTAAAATGCCGATGGAACGATAATTCGAAATGACCGGTGAGACTTTAGGCGCAGGACCGACAGCTTTACGTGCTCTCCAAGGCACGGGGGTGACACACCCCCAACTCCCCAACTTCGGGCTGTTACTGAGAATTTATTAATAAAAAAATAAAATAACCTTAATGTAATATTTCAACAATTATATTGTTATCAAAAAAAGCGAGTGAAACAATAAAAATAATAGAAAAAAGTGTAAGGTTATTTTTAAAACCTATAAATATTCATATATTCATTTGAAAATAGTGACAAGTTTTTGTTCATCACTTACTTTTGCCTTTTACAACGCTGTATTAGTGTCATTATCAGGTCAAAGGAACCCGCGCCCTTTGACCAGTTGATAACACAGCTTTTGAATTTTTTTAATAGATGTTATAATGAGATATGTTATTCATCACGATAAATGTTTTATCAAAGTTGTACCTATAATGATATATTGACGTAACAATCGTAAGACTCAACTACTAGATCAGTTGGTCATCGTGACGCTTGCGCATCGCTGGTGTTAATTTACAAGTTTTACAAATGAAAACATAACTGAGGCATATGACATTATTTATAAGAATATTTTTTATATAATTATAAATTAATGAGATTATAATTTAAAATGTTGTATTTTAATTCAATGAAATTTAGAAAAAAGTTAATTTTGTTTACGTTAGTGATAATGAATGTGATGGACCAACCGGCCCCAGAAGTGATAATAGAGCAAGGTACTCTAAGTGGTAAAATTAGTGCAGATGGAACTGTGTTCGAGTATATTGGAATACCTTATGCGACGTCAAACAGCAGCACGAGATTCAAGGTAATGCTTTTGTATGTTCAATGTACGTATGTAGGTTGTAGACGAGAAAAATATGATGTAAATAATCACCTCTATTATTTGTCATAAATCTTGTAGAAATATGTGGTCGTAGGTATCGTGTTTTCGATAAAAAAATAACATCAAGATATTATGGTTATGTATGTCAAAATGTACGGAAAACTGTGAATTTATCCCTTATAATGTATGAGTTTTTTCATTTGATGTGTTGTTACATATTGTAGGTACTTAATTTTTTTTCAATTATCAATGTTGGTCCAAAAATTTTATACATCATTATAACATACAATATAATCAACATTTTAATCTTTCCTATCGAATATATTCGAAGCAAAATAAGCGAACACATACAAAAAGACAGACTTACAAATAAGAAAGACACAAATACTTAGCCCTAAACAGTCTTGATTTCCTTTCATATCTTTAAAATATTTATTATTTTTTTCAGGCCCCAGGTCCACCTCCTACTTGGGAAGGTGTTTATAAAGCCACTGATGAAATCCACATCTGCCCTCAAAACACGATTTTCGGAGTAGTAGGTGATGAAGATTGTCTAAAAGTAAATGTATACGTTCCGGCAATGCCTAAAACGAAGCCTCTTGCAGTCATGGCCTATATTCATGGAGGAGCTTTTGAAGTAGGAAGTGGAGGCAAGCTTTTGTATGGACCAGGTTTTCTAACCAAGAAAGATGTAATTCTAGTAACATTTAATTATAGACTTGGACTCTTAGGTTTTCTATGTCTAAGAACAAAAGAAGCACCAGGAAACGCTGGGCTTAAAGACCAAATTGAAGCTTTAAAGTGGATTAAAAAGAATATTGCTGCATTTGGAGGTGATCCTGAAAATATCACGTTATTTGGTGAAAGTGCAGGTGCTACATCAGCATCTATACTATTGATTAGTGAAGCAAGCAATGGATTATTTAATCGGGTAATAATCCAAAGTGGTTCATCTGTGTCTAATTGGGCCATTAATAGAAAACCTGTTTGGTTTGCAAGTTTCTTACTAAAATCCATAGGATTCAATACTCAAGACCCACAGGAAATTTACGAAATATTTTCTAATATGACTCTCCAAGAAATTACAACCATTAATGTTGAAATGACTTTAGGCTTATACTACGATAAGCAATTGTTACATTTACCATGTATTGAATACGATATTCCGGGAACCAAACCAGTTTTAACTGATTTACCATATAATATTTTCACGAAAACGCCTAAGGATATCGCTGTTATACACGGAGTTAATAGTAGGGAAGGTTTATTTTTAGTAGATAAAGAAACAGATGAAGCACTTCGAGAAAGAAATGGGCAATATTTATTTGGCTCTGATCTTGAATTTCCTACCGAGGAAGAAGCCAGAGTGATAGCCAAAAAAGTTCAAAAATTTTATTTTGACGATGATGAAATTAGTCTTAAAAAAGAAATGAATGTAACGGACTTTTACTCACAGCTATATTTTGAAATACCTGCAATTTTTGAAACAGAATATTTAGTTAATAGGATTAAGTCAAAAGTTTATAATTACGTTTTTGCCCATGCTGGATATAGAAACTTCTTAAAACTTGTAGGTCGTTTCTGGAATGAACCTGGTGCGTGTCATGGAGATGAATTATTTTATATATTTAATGGTAATTTGTTTGAACCATTTAAAGTCACTAAACACGATAGACAAATCATTGAGTATATGACGACTATGTGGACGAATTTTGCAAAATATGGGTAAGACTTACGCAGTGTGAATTAATAATGCTTTATTTTAATCGTTTTTAGGGTTCCGTACCTCAAAAGGTAAAAGAAGGAACCCTTATAAGATCACTCTCTTGTCCGTCTGTCTGTCCGTGTGTCACTACCGATTTTTTCAGGAACGGGTGGACCAACAAGTTGAAATCTGTACCAGATACTGAGGTTTATAGTCCCTATTAGGTGTATAAAAATCTAGATCTTAAGTCAACGCAGTAAAAAAGGTACAGGCAAAATTGACTATTTTAGGCCAACTTACCAGGGAAATACTCTATGGGTTTTGGGTCGAAAACCTATATGGTAGTTCCCGTTGACCTAGAATCACGAAATTTAGCAAAAAGCAGCACAAATAAAGAAAAAAAATAAAAAAAAGTTGGACATTAAAGTTAAACAGATTTCCTACTTTGCACGGAACCCTCGGTGGGCGAGTCCGACTCGCACTTGTCCGGATTTGGTTTTTTTTTAAAAGATCAATAGTGAACTCTACTTCAAATTGAAAGTTAGTTATTTTGTAATAATCTCTAACTTATACTAATTTGAGATAAGCTGTTATGATAACTATAGTAAGAATAATTTTATGTTACAGCGACCCTACCCCGGATACAAGCGATATACCCATAAAATGGATACCAAGCAATAGAGAGCGTTTGAATTTTTTATATATTGATAATGAGTTAAAAATGGGACCAATGCTTCATCCCGAGGGTTATCAACTATGGAAAGATATTTATGACAAATACCGTAAGACTGACATTTAGATAACAGTAGAATAAAGTACAATAAATTTTAATTTTTCTAATATATATAGTTTTATTTATAATATATTATTTAGCTTAAATACTTAAAAGATATAACATATTCATTGTGCGGAGATAGCTTTTTACTATATAAATCTATACATATAATAAAATCCTAACTGAGTCTAATCTGTACATTAAATATTTTTTGGAAAATCTTATTGAAATAGTCATTATTATCGATATACTCTATATGCTGATGCCAAATCTATCACGAGAAAACCACTGAATAGATTTTGATGAAATTTAGTATGATGATAGCTGGTTATCCGGGTCAACATATAGAATACTTTTTACTGCGGAAAAATATCTGAGAAATCTATACTAACCGTTAAAACGCAACGAAACGTAACTCATAGTGTAACATATTTTTTTGTATTTTATAATTTTTAATATTAACATCAAATTAATTTTACTATAACTTATGATAATTTCCAACTTGGAAGTAAGATAAAACAACACAACGTGAGTTCTCTAGATGTATCTAAGTTTTCTCATTACTTACGCCCGCAACTTTGTTGAAAATAAATTATAGTGTGGTGAGGATTGCTTACATGGGTAATATAGATTAAATTAACAAAACTATTTCTTTAACAGATTTTTTGTACGTTTGTATATATGATTAAACTATTTCCCTTTTAGATAGATAGAGACACGACAAATCGGACAGATACCTTTACATATTTTTTAGTTAATTTAGTTTTAACTGTACCGTCCGTCTACTGTTCCACTAATCCTTTCTCTAAAGGTTCTCTGTAAGAGATTAGTCACAGCAATAAGACTGCCTTTGCATGCCTTTTTGTTATTTTTCTTTTCATCTTCTGTTCTCTTCTTTTGTGTGTGAAATAAAGTATTTATCTAACTATCTATTTACTTCTATGGATTTATTTCGTCCACTTAAAAATATCCCTCAGATTCACCATAAAATTATGTGAATACAAAACTCTACATAACAGCAGGTTTTACGTTCTTGTTGCATATATATAGCTGATTTCAGAACGTGAACCTAATTATAAAATACAGAAACACTATCTAGCGATTCAATATATTAAAATTTATATATTTATACTAGCAGAATCCGCGGCTACGCCCGCGTTCGCGTTTGGCGTTTGTCCCTATGTATTTATATAATATAGTTCATACACCAATACTAAAATCACGATTAAAAAATGGGGAATGGGGGTAGGATGGTGAAAACTACTTTACGACTACCAAATATACCAAAAAATATATTAATTTCATTAAAATCGGTCGAGCCGTTTCAGAGGAGTGCGACCATAAACACCGTGACGCGAGTTTTTTATATATTACCTATAATATAGGTCTCAAATTATCAAAAAGCAAGGAAAGACAATTTATGCGTAAAAAAATTATATATAAAAAACATGTAAAACGGGAAATTCTTACAATTCCCACAGAACTCAATAATTAAGGTACATTATTGCCTTTTCTTAACACAATATGAATGATTGACACAAATATTTATTACAATGAAAGCTCAATCATATTAAAAGCTCTGTTTCTTAGCTTTATTCGTTAATTTGACAAGCGAAGTCTTTGGCATGATACAAATTATAACTTAGACTTACTTTTGATTACATCTTGCTATCACTCTAACTGTATCTCATGCTACCTTATCATCCCTCGGGAAGCTGCTAATGTACTGAGATAAATCTGTGATACTTTCTGCTCATAAACTAGTAAAACCATAACATCGAAAGCTATAATATTTTATTTAGAAACACTATATAATATAAAGCTTAACTGCATTTTGTTAGTAAAATTTTTATAATGATGACCGGAACAGAAATGTTGAATGATTTAGGCCTATTGTTACACTATGAGGCAAAGCACTCAAATAAAGGGCTCTTGTGTCGCAGTGCACTTCATTGCTCTCGAGTTAGCGTATTTAGACGATATACTTCCTTTATAAGTTCTATTACAGCTAGGAATATGTTTTTTTTTTCATATTAATCTATAAATAGAATGACATTTTAATATTAGAATGCATTTTTTTTTAATTTAAGCTTTAAGCAACTAAATTTTTTAAAATGTGAAAGTTAATATTTATTAACATAAAAATCTAACTATACGTACCGTTACTTATTCTCCGATCTTAAATCAACAATGCCAGAGTATTTTATATTATTATAATCTAATATTTGGTAAAGAAAAGGCGTTGGCAATGGAAAAAATGACTTTTACTTTTACAAGAAAAATCACAAAGAATAATTTAAAATACAGTTTTTATTTTTAAAGTTTTTACTTAAATGAAGTGAAAAACCAATCATCCCTCATTTTCTACACTTAAGAGAGGATTTTTTTTTCAAATTAAAATGGGACCAACTTTGAGGTATACCTACCAAATCCATTAAAAAAGAATCATCAAAATTGAACTATACTGTAAAAATTTATGCGTGGTCAAACATAAAAAAAAAACAAAATATACGTGTCGAATTGATACCCTCCTTCTCTTTTACATCGGTTAAAAAATAGAACGAGATAATTGACTTTAATTCAAACCCTTTAAACATTTTTTGCTAATATATTTTTAGTAGTTTATACATGCCTTAAAGCCATCGTCTCTTCAAATTAATTACATTCATGTAGAAAACTGAGAGTAGACAGTTTTATCATACATATTATTTTACATACAATATTTTTAATGTTATTTTCATATTACCAATACTAATATTAAACACGTAAATTGTTAGCAATAGACGAAAAATTTATTCAACAAACATTTGTACAATTACAAACATTAAGTACAATAACAGTAGGTAACAACTTAAATAAGTAATTTTATGTTTTTATATTAAAAAAAACCTATTAATAATATTCAAAAGGAGAATCTTCTACTAGATGGCGTTACTAGTCACTATTTATAGACATTTTGACACAAACATTGACTCCTCCACTTATGTGTTAGTAAAATACTATTTTATTATAGCCATATACCCTCACTTCACTCGGGAGCGTCCCTGGGTACGTTTTAATTTTTTTAGCGGAACCCTAATTTTTTTTCTAAAATAAAAGTAGCCTAAGTCACTCTTTATAAACCAAAATCAGCCCAGCCGTTTCGAAGATTCGCCGGAGCAAACGGATAGACAAAAATATTAAAAATTGTGTTTTTTTATTAATACCGTATATAATTTCATATACATTTAGTAAAAAGCTGTTATTTTGACATTACAAACAGACACATCAATTTTATTTATCTGAGTAGATTTTCCAATTCCATAAATCTTATTTACTTTAAGAATGGTATGAGTAAAACTACAGTTAGTTAACACAGAGGCTAATAGAATATATAAGATAAACGTCATAATAGTTCCAGGGAGACTACGAGTAAAGGGCGTTTTACTGTGAGAGTTCTCACGTCAAGGGCTTACTTAATAAGCGACTAAATAATATATGTAGTGTAAGCGAAGTTTCGTAATTTTGTTGGATAAAACTATGTAATTTTTTGAAGCATTTATCTAAAATACCACTAGCGAAGCTAAAAAACAAACCTATTCCACGGGAACCGTATATTTTTCCGGGATAAAAATTAGCCTATGTGTTATTCCAGACTATATTCTATCTCTGTGCCAAATTTCATCCAGATCCGTTCAGCCTTTCTGGCGTGAAAGAGTAACAAACATTTTTTTTATTAAACATTTTTTTGATTTACAGATTACAACATTTTAAATTGTAGTTAATTATTCCAAAATCTCTCTATGCCGTAAAGCAATTTACCTATATATTTTAGGATATATTTTTTTTATTTAATCCAATTATTTTTAAATTTCTAATATATAATTATAAAATTAAATTTTTAAATTAAAAAAAACACAGATAATTTTAATTTAAAAGTTTTATAAACGAAATGGTTTCCATGACAACAGAAATCTAAGCAGTAAAATACGTTCAAATTAAGTCAACAACTACATAATAATATTTATTAGTGAGGAAACTAAAGTTCAATCTTCTATAGATAAACTGTAAGGTCCGACTTGTTTCCTCCCGCTGCAGTAAAGGTTGTCTAGGAATAAAATAATAAACCTGACGGCTTATAAAAAGCCGGATGACATCAAGTAAACGAGTAAATACCAGATAAGTATCTTGTTAGAGACAAAGGAAGTTGCCAACAAAAGCGGGCCGTATCGTTGTTTTTCACCCTGAAAAGAGCGCAAAGGCTTCAGGTGCGGCTAAAGGTAGGGCCGTATAGCGTTTATTATACAAAGGTAGATATCGAGAAGGGTTTTACTGAAAGTAAATTCATTTAAAGACATGGAATACTTAGTTTTTTAAGAAAAAAATCTTGCATGATATAAGTATAGCTAGATATATTAAATTTTAAAATATTGTTAGATGAACAAACAAACAAATTGACTTATTAGGAATACGGAGATATCCATGTTTTTATACTTGCTGCGAGTCTTGCATCTGTACAACAACTGACAAATTATAGTTGTAAAAGGAGTACAGCGTGAGTAATTAATAATCTTACCGATATTATAAATTTGAAAGTTTATAAATGTTTGCATAATTGTTTGTTACTCAATCACGCCGTAACAGCGGAACGGATCTATATGAAATTTTGCACAGATATAGATTATTCTCTGAATTTGCACACAGGCTACTTTTATCCGGGAAAAATGTGCGTTTCCCGTGGGATAGATATGTTTTATTTTTCTAGAGGCGAATCCGAGCAAAGCTAGAGTGAGCCGCTAGCTTGTAAATATTATAATTTATAGTATCTGCCCTGCTGTAAGGACTATTTGAAACTATACTAAACGTCAGACCAAAGAATAATATAGACAGAAAATTACAAACAGTATTATTTTTATTCATATTTTATTCCCATAAATTGTTTAACCTCTTCCTTTACTCTTTAAATTTTCAAACAACTTTCCCTTATTCTTTAAAGAAAGTTTTAGCAAAAAAGAAAGATCATAAGCAAGCAGCAAATCAAG